CATATATATGATATATTATCGAAAGATTTATAACATTTTCTTATGTTATTTTATTTTATTTCTGTGTACTAAAATACAGGGGGGGGGGGGACTAGTGCCCCCTATTGACCAGCTGCTACTGTTTTTAAACTAGAAATAAGTTCACCACTCTTACCCCAGTTTCCTCCTGCTTTGTACTGACACCCCCACCCCACGTGAAGAATATGGACTTTAAAAGTAACCTTGTTGCTGTCATGCACTATTGAAATGTCTCTTGTCCAGGAGGGGTCTGTGTGGGTCAGGGTCGTCTCAGGAGGAGGGAGATGGATGGAGAAGCATGAACTTTTATTTAAGATTTAAGCTGTAGAAGATATTTTTAATTTGAAAGGTCCTTAAGGCTCACCAGCAGAAGAATAAATAATGCTGTTAAGACAGCTTATGATAAAGTTAATCTAAAATCTAAGCTTGATTTTGAAGTGAAATTAAATACCAGAGTGATCATTACAGTGTGGCTATAATTCCTCACTTCACCATCTGTGTCGCAGCTTCCTGTCTCCAAAATGAGCGTACGCATGGGTCAGAGCTGGCTGAGGGACCGCACATTTTCACATCAAGTTTGGATTTTATAAATTAGAACCTTTGCATGAAAAGTGGAATTCTTCGGACTATTTCCCTCTAAACTTGCGTATTCCTCTGGCTGATAAATGTGCTCTTGCTTGTAGAATTTTATTTTATGAACAGTGAAGTGTATCATATTTCGTTGATATAATATGATATTTTGTTTTTTTCCTCATCTAACCATCTAGTGCAGAGGTGCCCAAAGTGGGGCCCGCGGGCCAGATTTGGCCCACCAAGCCATTTGATTTGGCCCACTAGAAGTTGTCCTGGTTCCTAGATTGTAATCTCCAGTCTTATGTATATATACTATATTTACACTTAGTCTTTTCAACCATTGGTCCAACTATAGGTACAAGGATCTGTAGTCAGATAGACCTAACTCAGGGTGGTACTTTATCCTTGAAATATATTAAGATTAAACTTAAAATGCAA